TACAGACATATATATATATGTACATATATATATATATATGTATATCTTTGTGGTTGCCAGTTCTGGGAAGGAGGGGAGAGATGAATAGGTGGAACACAGTAGATTTTTAGGGAAGTAAAACTAGTCTGTAAGATACTGTAATGGTGGGCACACGACCTGTGATCGTAGACACATGACATTATGCATTTGTCAAAACCCACAGGAGTGTACAGCACAAAGAGTAACCCTAATGTAAACTATGAGTTTCACTTAATAATAATGCATACTGTGAACCTTATTTAATAATAATGTACTGATTCTGGTTCCTCAGTTGTAACAAATGCACCACACTGATGCAAGATGTTAATAATAGGAGAAACTGTGGGGTTGGGGGCAGAGGGTGTATGGAAATTCTCTGTACTTTCTGTGCAATGTTTTTGTGAACCTAAAACTGCTCTAAAAAATAAAGTGTATTAAAAAAGAAAAAAATTTACGCCCTGGAAGAGAAAACTGTCAGCACCTGTTTCCAGCCTGCAGAACCTGGCCACCGTCTCTGGAGCCCCCTTCATGTAGACATGGAAGCGATCCCCCCCGGCCAGCTGAGCGACCACGGACATCCTCTGCAGGCCCGAGGAAAAGGGGAACTGACGCAGGACAGTGATGGCTTCCACGGGACTCTGCGACCATCCAACAAAGGAGAGCTTTACGACACTTTCAAGTGAGACTCGGCAAATGCACACCAGCAAATAGAATCCACTCTGCAATGTGATACGACCCTGATGGGCCCAGGCACACGACGAAGTGGTAAATTCATCACAATATTGCTATTTTTCGGGCCACCTAAGATGACTCCTTGGCCAAGTTGTTTGGTCTGCAAGGCCCTTCCCCTCAGCTGATTAGAGAAATCTCCATCACCTTCCAGGCAAGGCTGTCTCCCAGAAACAGTATTCACTCCCTCCTCTGGACTCCTCTGGCTCAAACATCACCCTTTATTCTAATGCTTAGAACAGTGCATTGCACTTATTTGTACATATATTGGTTTTTCTACCAGAATATGTGCTCCTCTAGCACAGAGCCCAGCATATCCAGTTTTCAAATCTCTCTACCAGCTAACACCCAGCACCGTTCTCTAGTATATGTAGGTACTCAGTGAGGGTTTGTTGAATAAATTAATGGATAAAGTCAGGAACGCCAAAAAACTATGGAAATAGGAGTTGTTGTTGTCGTTAGATGCCATCGAGTTAGTTCCCACTCACGGTGCTGCCATGTGTTACAGAATAGAACTGCTCCGTAAGGTGTTTATGACTTCGACCTTTCAAAAGCAGATGGCCAGGCCTGTCTTCTGAGGTGCCTCTGGGTGGGTTTGAACAGCCAACCTTTTGGGTGGTAATCAAGCAATTAACCGTTTGTGCCACCCAGGGACAGGAATATAGAGATATGTGAAAGTCGGGGAAGTTTCACCCATCTTAAGGGCAAAGGACTACATGATTTAAAGAAGCAAATCATACCTCACTGGCTCTTGGCCCTGGTTTTAATATGACGTTTGAGTCTGACGTCCCAACTACACAGTACTGCACACTGCAATCTTCCATTTTCTGTTTTAAAATGAAAACATTCATCAGATTCCTTGGAGAAAAATAGTAAGAAAGAAATAACTATTGGCATAGCGCTTTAATCTTTTCAAAGCTCTTTTCACATATTTTTTTCTTCTAGACCAATTGTCTTAATACCTTCATCGTCAAATATGTCTTGTGTTGGTTGACATTAAGGACCTTGGTGTAGAATGGCAAAAAGCCAGGAAGAGTGTAAATACATGAAGTAGTAACTGATGGAGAAGTGCTAGCTGCGGGTCAATGGCTCTTCCTAAATGGTCATGTCTAGTAATTGGGGGAGGGTTTAAATGGAGATCTGCTCTCGAAGATAGCTGGGCACAGTAGCGCTCAGATGAGACAGGAATGGGTCCTGAGATAAGCATTGGGCTGCTTATGCTATATCAACGCTATCAGTGCTACTAGCTTAGTTTATTAGCTAGAGAGTTAACAACTTATCTGCTCACAAGTTAGAAAACACATTTGAAAATGGTTTGTATGGTTTGGGTGTTACAACAGTAGTAGCTATGCCATCTGAAATGCCAATATTAACCTATAATATGCGGAAGACATTTGGATATATAAAAAGTAAATAAAAACCTATAACCAATACCATTGATTTGATTTCAACTCATAGTGACCCTATAGGACATTGAGTCAATTCCGACTCACAGTGACCCTATAGAATAGAGAACTACCCTATAGGTTTTCTAAGGATTTGAACGGCCGACCTTTTGCTTAGCAGCCGAACGCTTAAACCACGGCACCACCAGGGCTCCAAACAGGAGACTGTATCCAATCTCTGATCTGTTACTTACTTGTTTAACCTTAGGATGTCACTTCATTTCTCCAGATCTCAATTTCTTTTAAGAAATATTCTGACATCCCTTCCAGTGCTAAAATTCTTAGAGCGTATAAGACATCCCCCATCTTGTGATGTTTAGTGGAAGCCTTCTAATGACCAAAATGCATTCAGCTCGAGACTGCTTCTGACCCCGGTTTAACGTTTCTCCTGATTGTCTTAAACTCAGAGAGTAATCCCGCGTTTGTACGCTTTGTTAGGGGTGATGCAACTGTTCTTCCAGATAGCTCTTCACAGTTACTACTCGGTATTTCTTATCCCAGACAAGATCCCAGGTTGTATGTCATCGTACAGATCTGTCAACCCTCTGCTGTTGGGGAAAGGGACACTGTGAGGACCAGGATCAAAGCCACATATAGTAACAATGGCCCAAGGCAACTCATCATTATGTCAACTCCAATGATGCTGGTGAGGACATTGCTTATAAAAAGTACATTGATTCCTCGCCGTTAAGACCCAGGAAACTGATTACTGTCTTTTCTTTGTGTCAAAAACATTTCTGTGGAGTAAATGCTCTATTATGACTTACTGATATCAGAAATTCCCTTGATTACCAGATTTCCCCCTTTTTTTTATTGCTTTGGCTTCTAGAAAGCTAAAATTTTCTTACGTATTTTCATTTTAGGCTCATTTTGAAGAGTATTTCAATGTGCCTGCAGTCATTGGTTTCCATTCTTTTGTACCTGTTTTTAAATGCCATCTTGTATTTTATGTACCACTGTAAGTAGCTTTAGAACCTTTTGGGAGGATGTTATTGTTGCGTGCCGCTGAGTCAATTCCAACTCATAGCGACCCTATGCGACAAAATAGAACTGCCTCATAGGGTTTCCTAGGCTGTAACTTTCATTGGAGCAGATCTCCCTGTCTTTTCTCTCTTGGAACTGCTGGTGGATTCGAACTGCTGACCCTTTGGTTAGCAGCAGAGTGCTTAACCATTGCGCCACTGGGGCTCCTTGATTGATTGATTAATTAATTAATTAATTCCCTCCACTTATTTGGCACTTCATAGAGCTTAAAGCTCTTTTAGGTTCAGTCTCAAAGCTCACCTCAACTCTGTGAGTGATGCATTATTCTCCCAAATGTACAGAGGAGGTGACAGACAAGTCCTGGTACCAGATTTGGAGTCACACACCTAGAAAGTGGTGTGGTCCAGAAACCTTCCCACCATGTCCTGACACCTCCAGGACAGGTCTACATCTTTCAATTATCACTCACACTCAGCTCAGAAAATTGAACCAGTTGGAGCTAGGGCACTCCAGTTTGGTGTCTAGACACACCCTGTCCAATACAATAGCCACAAGCCACTTGTGACTATTTAAATTTAAATGAATTAAAATTAAATAAAATTAAAAATTCAGTTCCTCGGTCACATAGACACCTCAAGTGTTCAATAGCCACTTGTTACGAGTGACTACTATATAGGACAGCGCAGATATAGAACATTTCCATCACTGCAGAAAGTTCTATTGGACAGCGCTGCTCTAGGCTTCCATTTTCTGAGGGTGTTCTGGAGAAGATTTGTGCAATGATATTGCCTGTTAATAAGGTTTTTGTGGTAAATAGGTTTGGTAAATACAGCGTACCGGATTCTCCTCTCAAAAATTCGCAATGCACCTACAGTTAAGAAATTGATTTAACTCTGTTTAAACAGCAATTCCCAAATGTAATTGATTGTGAAACCCAGTTCATGTTGCACTCATTAACAGAGTTCTTTGGCGCAGATGTGGGGAGCCTCTGTCAGATCTGATCTTGGTTCAAGCGTTCTTCTGAATCTCCTCTGGGCTTTAACTTAGGTTAGAAAAGCTTCGGTGCCTCCAATAAGAATTTCTTCAAGTCTTTCTCATTCAATGACAGCAAGAAACTGTCACCTTACCCAGGCAGTGCCCTCAAACATTTTGAGGTCCAGTGGGTCTCCCTGGACCGTCCCATCGAGAAGGATCAGAGAGTGGCAGCTGGCCATGGCCGCACACAGTGGACCCCACGGCAAAGCCTTGCCCGAGGCAAAGCTGTGGACTTCCTGGAAACTGGTAGAGAAGATAATTAATAAGTTAAGGTTGTCTGTAAAATCGTTCTGCGTAAGTTATTCTGCCCCTAAAATCTTACTAAGGTAGACTTTCAATTACACTACCACCATGCTCATACCCGTCAATGGCTCCCCATGCCCCATATGATAGAGTCCAAACTGCTTAGCCTGGTTTTCGATGCCCTGCACACTCCAATTCTAGCTTACCCTACAGCTTCTACTCCCACTAATGTCCTTTATGCCCTAGATTCTATCTTCAAATTAAACTTCTTGTTATTTCTATACTTGTCCAGGAACTTCCCTGTCCGTGAGCCTCTGCTCACTTGTTTCCTCATTTTCTAACTAGAATATTCTGCCTGCAGGGCAATCCTTACAAAACCCTCCATGGAGCTGTATGTAAATTTCATTCTCCACAAAGTTTGCCACTGGCTGATCAATAATGTAATTTCAGAGGCCTTGAGTATGATCACAAGGAATTTTGTCCTGTGATTTGCAGCCAGCCCAGATAGTGGCGGTATTGGGAGAAGGTGTATGAGCAGGCAGCTCAGTGCTGAGACCTGCAAAGTCCACAGAGCTGGGCTGTAGAAAGCCACATACCCCAGGAAAGAAGTCTCTAGGCTAATGAAGTAGCAGGGATGGGAAAAAGAGCTAGCCTGGTGGCTCCAATCAAGTGATAGCGTGCGTGAACTCTGAAGCATTCCTTATTCCGCAGTCTTTTGGAGTTTGCCCTCATTTCCTGAAATCCCTGGTCTGGACACCCTGCCTCTACTGCCCATTTTTCTCTTTGACAGTACAGGCTGGCTTGATATACCTCTTCTCCTCCTGCCTTACAGCAAAATAGTACTGTAAATGTGTCTGGTTGTTTCTGTTCTCAAAAAAGTTTCAGAGTGCAAGGAGCCCCGGTGGCGCAATGGTTAAGTGGTCGGCTACCAACTGGAAGGTTGGAGGTTCCAAACCACCTAGCAGAAAGACCTGGCAATCTGATTCCATAAAGATAACAGCCAAGAAAACCCCATAGGGCAGTTCTACTCTGTCATATGGGGTCACTATGAGTCAAAATTGACTCGACGACACCCAACAACAACGGGGCAAGGTAGAGAGAGAAAGGGTGGAAACTGCAACTATCCTGTTTCTGTTTCACTGCTCTGACCAGTTGTCTTAGTCATCTGGTGCTGCTATAACAGAAACACCACAAGTGGATGGTTTTGATGAAGAGAAGATTATTTCCTCATAGTCAAAGTAGGCTAAAAGTCCAAATTCCGGGCATCAGCTCCAGGGGAAGGCTTTTTCTCTCTGCCAGCCTTCTCATCAATGTTCTCCCGGACTAGGAGCTTCTCTGCGCAGGGACCCTGGTCTAAAGGACGCGCTCTGCTCCCGGCACTGCTTTCTTGATGGTATGAGGTCCCCCTGTCTCTCTGCTCACTTCTGTCTTTTATATCTCAAGAGATTGCCTCAGGACACAATCCAGTCTTGTAGATCAGGTCCTGCCTTACTAACACAACTGCCACCCATCCTCCCTCATTAACATCATAGAGGCAGGATTTACAACGTATAAGACAATCACACAGTACCAGGAATCATGGCCCAGCCAAACTGATACACACATTTTCTGAGACATAATTCAAACCGTAACATCCCACCCTTGTTTTCCATGTTGCAGCTGCACCTTGGGGTAGGCATCTATGCGATTGCCCTCTCTCCTGACCGAGTGCCAGTTTTGAGTCTGAGCCTGTAAAAATTCCAGCCATACACTCTCCCAAACCTATTACAAATGATCCACTCATTTTCAGAATTAATCTCTACCTTTTACCCACCATGTTATTATAATAGTCAGCACTGTGTATTATATCAAAACCAAACCAAACCTATTGCCATCGAGTTGATTCCAACTCATAGCAACCCTATAGGACAGAGTAGAACTGCCCCATAGGGTTTCTAAGGAGTGTCTAGTGGATTCGAACTACCGACCTTTTGGCTAGTAGCCGTAGCTCTTGACCACTGTGCCACCAGGGTTTCTGTGTGTTATAACAAGCAATCATTGTTTCTTCTTCTCTGCTCCGACATCTGTGCCGTCACAGTAACACTTTTCACTGCCCATGTTGTACACCGAACGTGGTACATTCCATCTAGACTGTGAGCTTTTTTTCTGGACCCCCTACCATAGCTGCCCTCACTAGCCCCCCCGGAAGCCTTTGCAGTTTTTAATTAAGAAGAGTCCTTGACTTACTTCCCTTACTCTTCTGTTTCACTTGTTCAGCTTCTGAATCATCCATCTCATTCTACTCCATTTTTCATCTGGAGCTTGAAAACCTACTTTCCTATCTGATTTTAAACTTAGGACTTATTTAATTAAACAAGTTAGAATATCTGGGAGCAGATTTCAGCCCATTTATATATATGTGACATTTATATACATGTGACATATATTTGACATTCATCTCCCAACACAAAAAGGATAGGTTTGAGTATCAAATCTAAGGTAAGCCCACCAAACACACATTCCCTTTTCACTAAGGGGCCTACCAGTTGTCAGCAGTAGGGACTGTCCCCCAGAGGTCCAGACCGTCTTCTGTAAGAGTACCAGTCTGAATAAAAATTAGAACTGGGATTAGCAGAAGATTTAAAGCTTTTAATGATGTTGTGATTGAAACAAATCTCAAGCTTCCAAGACATTACACTAGAACTCGTTGTCCAAAGTCCTTGTTTGTAAGCATCCCATGTTAAACCAGAGAAGGGTATCCAAAAGAAAGGTTCAAAGGGTGACAAATGATCCTAAAAGGACCATGTTGGTAATTAAGTGATTCAAGTTACTACCCAGGACAAGGAAATGCGTTTTGTTGTTTTATTTTTGTTTGTTTATTGTTGTGACTACTGTTATGTTAAAAGGGAGAGGTCCAGTGAATGGAAATCCAACAAGAACCAGCTCGAGTCTGAGTTTTTAGTTGGCACCTGCTGTCTTTCTAAAGCAGAGCTTGGGATTTTTTTTTTTCTTTTCAAGACTGTTTAGTTCACAGTTGGCCATCTGGTTCACAGTAATTTTCTGAAAATATGGGTGACCTGTTGACTGTCCAGATTGATAATAAAATGTTGATAGAGGACTTTGAGTCTATAGAGAGAAGCCAAGGACTAATAATAAATATTAATTAATGCCCATGAATGAGTTTTATTGTTCTATCGTGAGGAATATGGTTTGATTTTGCTGTATTATGGAGAGAAATTGGTCAGAAAAAGTAACAGAGAAGGCAAAACGGCACTAAGTACTATCACAGCACTTTTAATTTCCTCCTGGCTTCACGTCGTGTCTTTATGCAGGAGATTAACAGCATTGGGGCTACCTAACATCAAGTCAGAATAAGTGGAGTTTGGTTATAAGCTGTTTAACACTGTCAAGATAGAGGGGAGCATTACAAAGCACTACAGAATATTCTGTTTCAACACTGACACCCCAGGTCTCTGACACTTTTTTTTTTTTTTTTTTTTTGAGGTCATCTCTGTATAAGACACTCCATTTTCTAGTTTTCTATTAAATGATATTTTCTACCGTTATAGCACATTACATTAGCACAATGCTTGTAGTGAAGTGCTTGTGAATGCTTTTGATTCTCATAACTGAGTGACCAGGGTGGAGATAGTCTCAGTTAGAGGTGAAATGAACTACCTAAGAGCACAGCAAGGCATCCCTGGATGCGGCAAATGGTTAACGCAGTCAGCTACTAACCAAAAGATTGGAGGTTCCAGCCTGCTTAGAGGTGCCTCCAAAGAAAGGCCTGGAGATTTACTTACGAAAAATCAGCGACTGAAAACCCTAAGGCATACAGTTCTACTCCGCCACGCATGAGATCGCCATGTTTCAGAACCACTCTGTCGTCTGGAGAGGCATAACCAGAATCCAGCCCTTTTGGAGTCTCCCACTGGACTAGAATTAGTCAGTGAATTCTGCGAGGCATGTGAAAAGCCCCATGTTAGGGTTCTGGGTCAAAGAATTCAGGAACTATTGTTTCGTTAATCTGCTTAGACTTCGCAGAGAGCTGCATGTTTGTGTGAGTTACTTCTTAAAGAACCACAACAAAAAGCGACTTGGTTCATTTGCTTCCTGCATTTTATAAGGGCCTCATCCCACGTGGTTAGACTCCAAATCCCCTTGAGTTGTTCCATTTCAGAAAGAGTGAGCAACTTAATTCGAACTGAAATGTTTTCTTGATGAGCAGATTATGTTTTCAAACATCGATATTTTGAGCGTGAAAACAGAGATGATGCCGCAGCGAGACAGAAATGATACTGTTATTTCTCTATGTGGAAATGACCCTTAGACAATAAAACCACTCATAAATAGAAAGAAAACTGAATTACGTCTGAGGTTCTAAAGGAAATAAGAGAAAACTTATTAACAAAAATACCAGCCTAGGCTTGGGCTGAATTGCATAGAGAAGGAGAACCCTCGTTTTAAGGAACTTAATAACAAAATCAGTATAAACTAGAAAAATATATGGGAACAAATGTACTCGGAAACGAAGTGCAGATGCCTTCTACCCTGGACAAAAAAACGCCCAAAACCACTAGATGGAAATTCTATTAATTGTGGAGTGCTTTATCTCAACATCATGTTGATAGAGCTTGATAATGTGAAAGCTGGAAGGAAACTTAGCATTGTAGTTTAGATTTCTGCTTAAAAAGTCACCCAGAAACTTAGTGTCAAATTCAGGATTAGATTTCACACTTGGCCAATTCCAAATCAAGAGTTGTTTACAGTGTTCCATGCTGTTACCCCATAGAAAAGTTGACCAAGCATGCCTCAGGGTACCTCAAACAGTCTAGCAAAGGAGAGCGTGCGGATGTGGAGGAAAAGTCTTTCAACAGGGTGTAAAATAAATACCCTCGGGAAATTCAGTTTTAGAAACAGATGCATTTGTCAGGAATATATTTTATAAATCTCCCTCTGTATTTTAGACGTTAGCGAGTCAGCTGAGTAATAGGAATGCCTATCAGAAAGCTTCCAAGGGATTGTTGGAGGGCCCTGGACCTAAAATGAAGCCATTGTTAAGTTAACCTTAAGTTAACACTGTAAGGTTAACCAAGTAAGTTAATCTCACTGGTGGTGATTGATGGAAGACCTTTGCCAAACAAAACACAGAAACTAAAACTGAAATAATCTAAGAGACAAGCCATATCCACCTGGTGACCGAGACTTGTGAGGTCTCCTTCATGAGTGTGTCTGCACTCTGTCCTCTGTGCTCCATTCCTGCTCTCATTGTCTAGGACAATGAATTATTTTTTCAGTTGTCCCCAGGTGGCCTTCAAACAGGTCTTCTGCCTCAGTCCTGTCTCCCTCCCTCCCCAGATGGAATAAATAAAACAAACCAAAAAAAAAAATGACAAAAAGTGATAAGGGCTTGCATTTTTTTTTTTGTTAAGACAAGGCACCCCCTCCTTAGCCTGGCACATGGGGCCTTAACTAGAGGGGTTTTTCCTTCTCTAGTTTCATTTCCTACAGATATTCTAGCCACGCTTCACCGCACTCTGCTTCCCACACACTCCAGGCCCTTCACACCCCTGTACTTTGGAACTGCTTTCCTCTAAGCCTGGGACCCATTCTTTCCTCTCTGTCCACCAAACAACCAAAGCAACAGCTCAAATGTGGCCTCCCAAAAGCACCCTGATGCTTTGCTCATACCTCTATTAAGGTAGGCATTGCATAGCATTGTCATTGTCTACATTTCTGCTTTCCCTGCTTCCTCAGCTAGACCGTGAGCTTCTCAAGAGCTAAAAACATCTCGTTAATAGGGCGCTCTACCAGCCCTGTGCACTGCTCTTTGCCATGTGGGTTAACTAAAAAAATGGCAAAAGCTGCTGTCTTGATCATTTTTCAAATAAATGAACAGAGGACATGAGGGACCAAGCGAGGCCCATGGCCATCAAACAGTTCATTTGGCCTGGTCAAGCTGAGGGCAAGATCTGACCAGCAGGGGCTGGGGTGGAAGTCTCCACAGGAGTCCCACAGGAGAGCCAGGAGAAGGGGCCTTAGGACCTGTCCACAGCAGCTGCCCTGTCTACGTGGCACAGACTGCTCCTCTACCACCTTTTCAGAGACAACCTTCCCAACCCCTGAGCTCTGGGGGAGCAAACGAGAAAAGGGAGGTAGGACTGAAAACACGTGGCATTGTCCGCTCCCTGCCTTTCCTTAAAAGAGGCAGAGCAGAGAAAGGAACATGTTCATGAGGCTCCGGACAAAGTATTTTAGGGAATAAAAATGTTCCTCAATTTTTTTACTTGAAAAAGACAGTCAGTCAGAGAAGCTATCATGGTATGAAATCAATTCGAAACACGAAACCCAAAACAGGCCCCCAAAATATTAAATCCCACAGGGGAAAAACTCATGATGTGATGGCTAAGCCAAGACCCTGGGACTCAGGGAAGTGGACTTTTAGAATGTGGTCTCACACTAGCTCACTGTGAGCCCTTCTCTGGCCTCAGTGCCCCCATCTGTGAAATGAGGGTGTTGGACGAGACAGTCTCTGAAGCCGTTTACAGCTTGGCTGTGCCTTAAAAGCATTAACCTCCCACCTGGAAAGTTCAGATCGTACTTTGTCAAAGCACACGAGGTTTATTTGCCCACACATGTTGATTCTCTGTGGGGACATACAGAAGATGCCCTTCCTCTGCAGCCTCTTCTGGGCGTACACGATGCCCGCGGTGAGGGCCGCTGGCAGTACAGGCGGGACAGTCACGGTGAGGAGCAACAAGGCCATCGTCATGGTATCTCTTGCAGGGACCTGGTGAGGGGAGGGACACAGAGGTTAGCCCAGCAGACCAGGCCACCACCCTACCTGGCAACTTCTTCCTACAACACCACAGAAGCCCTAGAGGCTCAGAATACTCCGAATGAGTCTGCTCTGTTCGTGAGGCTGAGTGCTCCCATGGCTGGGCCTACAGAATGAACAAGTTGTGTCCCACTACAGAAGAAAGGAGACCTCTGATTCCAACTCCACATCCACCCTGACCTTTCCTGACTCAGTTTCTCTCTACTTAACCTTCCCTCTACCCAGATGGCCTGTCCCTTCTTTGGCCACCACACTTCCACGCAACCTCTGGGCTCCTCGGGCACCGGGTCTGGTCTTTGGTTATAACATTGCACACAGTGAACTGCCTGTTGGTTTATAAATCTCTCTCTAATATCATCCTACAAACTCTTTAGACCTAGCAGCTATGGATCATTCATCTCTGAAATCCCAGAGTCTAGCACGTATCTGGCACAGAAGACAGGCTCAGTATACATACTGAATAAACTGCAATCTGATTTAAAAAAAAAAAATGACCAAGATTCTGCCAAGATCTCAGCACATATCAGTAACTAAGTTGTTGTCACTGTTAGCTGCCATCCAGTCGGCCCCTGACTCATGAAAACCCCATGAAAAATGAAACAAAATTCTTCCCAGTCCTGCACCATCCCCATGATCTGCTGGGGATTGGACCATTGTGATCCATAGGATTTTCATTGGCTGATTTTCAGAAGCAGATCACCAGGCCTTGCTTCCTAGTCTGTCTTAGTCTAGAAGCTCCACTGAAACCTGTGCAGCATCATAGCAACACACAATCCACCACTGACAAATGGCTGGTAGCTGCACATGCGGTACTTTGGTCAGGAATCAAACCCAAGTCTCCCACATGGAAGGCGAGAATCGTTCCACTGAGCCACCAATGTCCTCCCTCATTATCAGTTATAAGGAAGCCAATACTAAAAAGTAAATAAAATAATTAAAAAGTCCAATAAATTAAGCTATTTTTATTATATATATTTATATATAATAAAAACAGCTTATACTTATTGGCCACTTAATCTGGAGCAGGCACTAGGCTAGGCTACATATGATTTTTTGCTTACTCCTCACAACCCTGTGATGTGACTACTGTTACTTTCTCCATATAACAGATGAAGAAACTGAGGCTTAAAAATTTAAATAACTTTTCCAAGACCACATGCTAGTTACATGGTGAGAATTTGAACTCCAGTTTGTTGGATTCCAGGGCTCAAACACTTGGCCAGTGTGCTACATTATCGAGTCCATCCTTGTGGAGTCAGGATCCCAGGCAGGTCTGCCCAGGAGGCTCCAGTGCTAATCACACAGCTAACCAGGGCAGGGCCAAGATCAGGTCATGGGGCTGCTTGTTTTATTTTTCACATGCTCTAGATATTGATGGCTCCATCTCTATAACCTTGCCTATGTTTTTATGAAATTAACCATCATTTTAGCAGTAGAGCTCTTTTTTGCATAATGGAAACATAGATTCAAGTTCAATACCAATGTCTACTAGGTGCTTCTTTTTGTCCAATGTTAGCTCATCACAAATTCCATCAATCCCTGCTCTTCCCAACCACAGTCACAGAGGAATTTTGACCCTGAATACTTAGCCCTGTCTAATCCTGAACCAGTGCAGATAGAGACAGGCAACACGTCCACAGGTTCTGACCCACAAGAATATGGGTCTGGGAATAGTCCTGCTGCTTTAATGTGTACTGGATATTGAGTTCTACCCTCATTGCCAGGCACTGCCCTGGCTTCCTGGTCCACAGGAGAGGGCTTTTGTCTGGCATTCTGCTCGGGGCTTCTGCTCCCCAGATAAACCCAGCACACGCCTCAAATCTAGCCCCAGTGGCCTTGATATTCTGCCTAGCTCTTTTCAGGTTCCATTCTACTAATGCCAAAATGCCCTCCTCTCCTCTGCCCTAGAAATACTCTCTGGAGGCTTATTTCAGATTGAAATAACTACTCAGAGCTTGAGGTGGACCATGAACATTGCCTAAAAATTCTTGTGGCTGCGTCTTTGACTACCAATATTTACCTCCCAGCCCACGCCTCACGCATACACATAAGAGTGCCATGATGCCATTAGTTTGGGCATCGTAATTAGATCAGCCATTCCCAGTGTCACACCTGTGTTTGGACCTTTTCCTTCCCAGTTTCCTTGTCTACCAGCCTACAGTGCTAAGATCCCAGCACTTCTTACTGTAGAGACTGCATGGTTCACAACAGAATCACATTCTAACAACCAGAAAGGACGTCAAAGGTCATTTTTGACAACCTTCCCCTCCCACTATTATCACATCTGTGAAGAGAGGCATCTAAACTCAAACCTCACACCCTGAAGCTTAAAGGCAAGTGAGTTCCATGCTAGGTAGCTCTGTAAAAGTAGACATTTAATTTTATTTCAGAACCCAGCCAGAACATACAGGTAACTCATTAACTGCATGGAGTGTTGTGTATTTCCTGAGACAATGTACACTTTCAAACACTGCAGAAAAGGTTAAAACTTCTAGGCATGACATTCAAGATTCCCTTCAATCTGATCTACTCCCACTTTTCTAGGCTTATCTCTTAATTACTTGCTGGTTCCACAAGACTCCTATCCATTTCTTTCTTCGTGTTTTGCTGATGTAAATTAGCATGCCCTTTCCTCTGTCTGATATAATTGACTAAATCCTCCCCATCTTAGCAGGCTTAAGAGAAATGTATTTCCTCTGAGACTATTTGGGCTTGGGTATCATAAATGCTACACATGCCATAAACTCTCATCCCTATCCAGATGGCTGAGGAGCTGGTACTTTGCAATTATTCATAGCTGCACTGTCCAATAAAATTGCCACTCACCACATGTGGCTACTTAAATTTAAATTAATTAAAATGAAATAATATTTAAAATTCGTTTCCTCTGTCGCACTAGCCACATTCCAAGTGCTCGATAGCCACATGTGGCTAATGGCTACCATATTGGACAGTGCAGATATAGAATATTTCCATCATCTAAAAAAGCTCTGTTGAACTGCTTCACAGAACGATGGAACCAAGAGGCAATCTTATCTAACTCTTTTGAGTTAGGTCAGGCTCTTAAAGAAAGCTGTGCTGTTGAAAAGCCTTACCCCCAATACTTACTCCATGGTACATATATACCCCAAGGGCATAGAAAAAACCCAGGATGCCAAGGCAGGCCAGGAACACAATGAACTTAAAAGCATCACTGTATAGCTTGAAGTTCAGAGGCTGGGGGTAGAGGATGGATCTCACCAAGTCACCTTTGGCTGTATTGTAACCTACATGAGATAATCATAGATGGAGTAAGGTTCTTTCATACAGTTTCTCTGAAAACCAAAAACAGTTTAAGTTGAGTTAAGGGTTGGTTAAGAGGGTCATTTAACATGGATTGAAAATAGCATGACTTCGACCTAAAAGTGTATTTGCATTTATTGTTCTTATAAGACACGAGAAGGAGTAATAAATGACATTCATTTAGCCCTGTTTCATTTCTCTTGCTCACAAGAGCGCTGCTACCCTTTCAACAGTAGGGTTGTGTAAAAGAGGACTAAGGAGCTAAAGAATGAACTGACCAGAGAGATGAAGAGTTTAAAATGCAGACAGGTGTTGAAAAACAATAGAAACTTAAAAGAAAAGGAAAACACAAGGGCAAGTAATTTCTTAAAATCATACAGGCAAAAACCTTCAATCGTGTCATTCTTGTGATCAAAACCCCTCTAGAGCCTCCATGTTTTAGAATAGAGCCCCAATTTCTAGACTCGGCATTCAAAGTCTCCTTCAATCAGATCTACTCCTACCTTGGTAGACGTCTCTCAACTGCTTACTAGTTCCAGAAGACCTCTGTGTATTCCTGTTTTTGTGTTTTCCAGGCACAAATTAGCATGTCCTTCCCACTCTCTGATATGATTTGCTAAATCCTCCTATTCTATCAGGCTTGGCTCAAAATGCCACCTCTTCAAATAAATATCCCCAGAATTCTACTCCCTTACTACATACTTAAAATAATCTCTCTCACTCTTTGAGGTCCCCATACCACTTGGTTATATGGCATCTATCACTGCTTCACATTTTAGTTAGCTGTAAATCTACCTGTCTCCTGCACCAGACCATCCTCTTTTTTAAGGGTCAGGAGTATATTACAATTGTTTTCTTTAGCCCTCAGTGTATAGCACTTAGTAGGTACTCATTAATATCTGAATGACTGGTGATAATGAATTGATGACTATATATTCTAGATATGAGTCAGTTTGAAAGTATAAAACATGCCTTATTCCCGTGGCTTGATGGACACCCATTCGGAATCAGAACCTGGTCTCTTCAAACATGGCGTTGCAGCCTTTGGAAAAGAGGGGTGGAGTTTCCTCTAACCTGCTGCCTTAGCGTTTTAAAGCACACAGGTGGCTTCCACAATCCACACCCAGTAGCTTCTTCTTAGGCAATAGCCTGAGGGATGCTCTAATGCCCACCAACTACTTTGAACCTAAAACAAAACCTTATATTTTTAATTTAAAAAAATGACTAGAACAATTAAATCATAGACTAAACTAAAGCATGGAGGTATCAAAGTGAAAGGTGTGTTTTGGATCTGCAAATATGTGGGGCAGCAGAAAGTGAGGTTAGGGATGAGTACAGAGAGCTGGGACTTGATCATAGAAGGCCTTGAACTTGTAATATCATGGAAAAGATTGGGATTTAGTCTATAGATATGGTAGTCATGAAAAGTTTTAAACTGTGGTATGGACTGCTCCAAAATATGTTTTAGAATTGTGACTTGGGTGACAGGTTGGGAGGGGGGCTGTAAGTTAAAGAAAGTTTTGGGAAAAGTTGAAATGGAACAGTCAGAAGACTGTTTCTGTTGTAATAGTTTAGACATGAGAAGAGGACAACCTGGACAAAACACCAACAATGGGATGAAGGGAAGGAAAAGGACAAAGGACGTATTTGTAAAATCAACAACATTCGAGACCCCATTTTGTGTGGCAGACAGTGAGGAGTAAAAGCTGATATTAAGCGACTTGTAGACAGCCATGCTGTTAGCAGAACAAGGCAATATAGGACGAATTCACTTTTAGATGTGCTGACTTTGAAGTGTTTGAAGGACACCCAGTTGGAGATATCCAGCGGAGAGCTTGAAACAACAGCCCAGCAAGCAAGTCTTTGAAAAGAAAACTTCTCATAGTGGGAGTGGCTGAACTTGTTTTCTTGGAAATCACTCAGCAGGGATGTAGAGGGAAAAGAGAGAAGAAGCCTATGGATGCGAGAAAAGTCAAGAACATGGGTTTGTCTTTGAGGAAATTTACTTCATCCACATGTACCCGTCAACACATACAAGGGTTTTAACAACAAATCATTCCATTTTTGGAATGATGGCTGCTTGGAATAATAAGGGTCTGATTGGAAAAGAATGTGGCTGCTATTACCAGAATATGAAAACTCCATGAAGCTAATCAAAATTTCCCTAATCCAACTCCTTCCACCTCTAGTCTTAGAATAAATTTACAAAAGAGGAATCCACTAACCTATTTGCAAAACAACTGCTCTTACAGGTCCCTGACCAGAGGGCTTGACCTGGATAACTTCTGTTCCACAAAAAAGAACGTGTCTCCGATAATCCTCCAGACTGTGGGATTTCCAGGGCATGGTGTTCTCCGATTGGGGCAATGGCGTCTTTGTAACAGGTATACTTTCTCCTGAAGAAGATTGTGTTTTGTTAGTTCCACATGAACTCAGGTAATTATTTAGAGCTGAAGCTTGCCAGTTGCAAGAAATTATACAAATCACAACTAATCCAGTCCTAATATCCAGCCCGTTGGTCAGATGAGAGCTCTTACAGATGTTGATGGCACAAAAAATGGTAAACTTGATTATATTTCAGATATTTAGCCAAGATCTGTTATTTTTCCCACACCCACCTAGTCTGCATGATTTGTTGTTATAATTTGAAAAGCAATCTACTTTAGCTAAGAGAATTGTCACTTAATCATTCCTCCAAGTGTTTACCTAGCACAATTCTAGGTAACAAAGCAACTATAAATCATGTAAATAATTATTATTACAGTGAAACCCGTGAGAGCATGAACTCGACGGGACTGCCTTGTTTTTCCGGGTCTCAAAAGTCTTCTGCCTTGAACAGGGTACAGTCTTACCACTTTTCTATTGCTTGTTTTAGTGGAAAAGATTTTAGTTTTCCTTCTCTGACAGGTTTCCACCTTACACAGCTTCTGGCTTTCACAGCTTTTACTGTATATGCCTTTCCTTCATACATTTATCCGCTCATCCACCTATCTATTCATTCAATATGCATTTTTAAGTGCATACTGTGTGCCATGCACTATGCTCGGTGGTGGGAATATAATGATGAACAAGAGAAACACAAATCCTGACCTTATAAAGCTCAGGGTGCCAGACTAGTACATAGTTAATTAAAATACAATAAGGTAAGTATTTTGGTAGTAGTACCAAGTGATATGGGCATCTAACCTAAAGTGAAGGATCAGGAAAGATTCCCTGCACAACTCATAAATGACAACTTGAAAGGAAAGTAAGATCAGCCAGACGGAGGAGGACAGAAAAGTGTTCTTAGAAGAGGTGAGAGAAAGCATGGTGTACCCTGGGCACGAAAAATAGTTGAAGATATATAGGACATTGAATATGAGGGTAAAGGTCATCAGTCTCAGAAATACAAAGATAAATGAAAAATGATCCCTCCATAAAATCTATAAAGTATTCATCCTGATCTTTTAGGAGCTTGCAGTGAAGACAGAAAGTAATATTAACAAGATAGGGCCTCTTTTTTCTCTTTCTAGATGATCTCAGCTTTTACTTCCGTTAATTAGTATCTCTAAAGAAATACATCACTAATGTTTTCTTCATCTTTTCTCTTTCCAGGAATCTCGTTCTATAGTTCCCAATTTGGGCTGTTCATCCCAATCTAGATCCCTCACTATCCTCTCCAAGTCAACATATCCAAAATCAATATCAATATTTTTATCCTTAAACCTCCTCCTGACTTTCCAATTTCTATTATGGTACCATCATTAATAATGCAATAAACATGCATTGATAACTATCAGTGATTAGAATGCAAAAGTTGAAAACAAAGAAGGATCGGTAGTTGGAAAATATGGCCTTGGTGATAGAAATGATGCCAGAGATCGAATGATAGAATTTTGGAAGAACAATGACTTATTCATTGCAATTACCATTTTTCAACAACATTAACGGCAGCTATACACATGGCCCTTGGCAGATGGAATACACAAGAATCAAATCAACTACAGCCATGGAAAGAGATGATGAAGTTCAATACCATCAGTCAGAACAAGGCCAGGGGTTGACTGAAGAACAGACCTTCAGTTGCTCATCAGTTGCTCCATCAAGTTGAAGCTCAAGAAAATTAAAACAAGTCCACAAGAGCCAAAATAAGACCTTGCATATATCCCACCTGAATTTAGAGACCATCTC